TTTTTTTTTTTTTTTTTTTTTTTTTGTTCTCTTTTTTTTTTTTAAAAAACAAATTCAACCACAGACCAGAAAACAAATGTGAAGCTGAACCTTATTAATGCACCACCAGCACCATCTATTGGTGTCTCCCCTTTGCACACCAAGAAAACAAACCTAAAAACTAAACAAGTGTATTTGAATAACATCTTGGGTAAAACATACAATTTCCCCTATTTTACAGTATCTCTGAACATAGTTAACATATACAGGAGAGGATTGGGGAACAGCAGCACTAAATGCTGTTAGAATAAATGAAGTGGGCATATTTTTTTACCTAATACTAAATGCCTAAGGAACATATATTTACAAGAAAAATTCAAAAGAACTGGCAATGACACCTCTCCAGGAATACTGCTGCAAAAAAGCTTGGGTAGGAATCCAGTTGACTAGATACCTGGCATATATTCATAATGATTTTTCTCCCCAAAGTTTTGAAGTTCTGCTCAGAATTGCCTATTTTTAGTTACTTTCCTAAACATTTTCAACTAAGAATTTTGGCATCTTGAGAGGTGGGTTTTCCACTTGAAATGTTCTTTTTTAAAAAAATGCATGTATATTGACACTTGCCAGTTTTAATTACCATCTGTTTGTTAACAGCTGGAAGAGAATTTCTCTCTCCACTGCTGTTGGCCCTTCTGATACAGATTTTGTAAGATGTAAGGGGTGACAGCAAATGCATCATCTTCAGCGCAGATTATAGCTGCCAGCTGAGAAACAGGCAAGTGGCTATTCTCAAATCATGAAAGATCTTGAAATTAGAATAGTTGCTGCTTATAAGTTTTGGGGTGCTTGCGGTAGGAAATTACAATGTGTAGGTGAAAGTATGATCCTACTTAAAGTACATAGCACAACCAAAATTACTTCAACAGAACCACACAATTTAATAGTACAATGTTTTACTTATGGGTTACACAGCTGGCATCTTTGTCATCTAAACTTGGGACTTAAGGCTGGACTGGGCTGTAGCGTGGTTAAGGATGTACTTGCCAACTAGCTACTTTTGTGTGTATTGATCTTTTCTTCATTTACTGCCAAAACCCAGTCCCCACTTAAAATACCTTTTCTTTCCCCCTTTCCCTTTCACTGACAGAAAACGCTTCACTCAAAGCTGAAAGATCCTTGGACTAACCTGACAGGGCTAAAACCAGCAAGGTGGTGCTGGATGGCATAATTCTGACCTTACTGGAGCTTAGCAAGTGCAATTTCTGTTTGGAAGGATCAAGAGCACCACCTGCCGTGCTTGTAGGGAGAAGCAAAACTCCATAGTTGCAATAAACAGCAACTAAAGAAAAGAAAGATTTTTTTTTTAAATTCCTTCCACCCCCTACCCCCGCCAAATCTTTGAAACCATGTCTTTTAAAGCATAAAGACCAACACTGCTGAACTAGACACGCCAGAAAGTAGTGAGTAGCCCTGTGCCTGGAAGACAGCATGTTCTTTGAATGTATGGAGCTGAAAAGTAAACCCTGGAAATACTGTGACCGTGTATTTTAGCTAACCTAGTTAGGCTAGGCTAGATAGGCTGGAGGAGAATGACAGAGCAGGCAGGGACTCTTTCCCATTGCACAGCTAACCCCATATCCCAAACTGAGTTCCAGGTTTTGGGGAACTGGTCTGTAAGGGCTAAAATATATAGAGACAGCATTCTCCCTCCTCATCCATTTCTACACCTGCCCCAGATGAGAGCTGTCCAGGTGAAACCTCTTCCTCCTGCCCAAGCAGGCAACATTACTGAAGAACTTTGGCTAAGCACCTTTTCACTATGAACATCCCACAAAGCAAAATGTTGGGCGCTAACCTCTAAACAGTAGTTGAAATCCATACATGAACTAGATTAAAAACTCTGAGGAGTGTGAGGATTTTGAAAGCCCTGAGGTTTCAGGGAGAACAAGACTGTGAAACAGTATCAGCCCGTGAAAGCAAGCATCCTCTTAAAGTCCTAGAAGTTCAAGAAGAGCTGTGTGCTTAGGTCAAGGCCACCTTATGCTCTAATGTGACAGATGAGAAGTGGAA